GAACGACCGACACGACTCCTTTGGAGTACTACTCCGCGACTTTTTTCCGTTCATTTCTCTTGAACGACCGACACGACATTGGAGTACTACTCCACGACTTTTTCCGTTCACTTTTGAACGATCGACTTGTCAGGTAACATAGGCTGAATCTTCTCTGAGGTAACATAGGCTGAATCCCACTTCTGAGATTGAAAGATATCTATTAGATTCGGAAAAAATTAACGGAGACCGACTGGATTTGAACTCGGGATCCCTCGTCTACCAATCCGACACTTAGTCTGCACGACCACGACGGCTCCTCTCTGTTAGCTGTTTATATTCCGAATCTCTTTCATGACCGCTTACGGTCGTCTAATTCTTACAAAATTTAATTGAAATAAATTAGCAATTTGGACAAAGTGTCAACATTGAGATTTGCGTTCAGAAAATACAGATACTACACGATTGGTGCGCTCTTTGAAATTTACCAATCGCATCGGCTTGGCTCGACGCACGCGTTTTCCGAACGCCGTCGAATCGCGGTTTCGATTGCGCTCAGCGCGTGCAAGCGATTTGGCATGACGTTTTTCAAAGTTTCGAAATGTGAAACTCGCTGCATCACGGCGAAATTTGATTCAGTGGATTCAGTTTCGTCGTGCGTATCTTGAAGTTTTCACGATGATGACGCGAATGTCGAAGAACTACGTCTATTACCTAAAGACGAGCGGCACCTGCGTCCTTGTGTTCGGGTAAGTGACTCCAAGGTGACTTCGCGTACCTTCGAGATGAAGGTCGCGCCCTGTATCTAATTGAAATCACATCTCGCACAGGGGCTGTTGGTTTCTGTATCAACTGAGGCAGATTTCCCAGATCGTCCGATCGGTTGTCAACACGGACGTTCTAAATTTGGAGCAAACGCGCGCACAATATATCTATATCGATGATCCTCGGTTCAAAGGTAAGCCTGTTATCTGTCAGCGTGCAGGTATACAAGTGTCTCTGATAATTGCAATGAATTAATCAATCCCCGATTTTTAGATATTTTTATGTTCAGGAAAGACGAGGACTCACATGGACCTGTATCGGAGAAGCTAGGAAGCCTCAGTGACATTCTGACGAGATGGTGGAAAGGGAAGAATCACAAAATTGCTTACAAATTATTGTATATGGCACAACATGGGAACAAAAACGAACGATACAAAGCTGTGACTGCTCTTAGCTCTTTATCGCACTTAAAAGGTAATCATGATGTTTCTCTGATGTTATTCATATTTTAATATAAGCTGAGATTTTGTAGATGTTAGATTTATATAATTTTTTTACGGAATACAATTTTTTCAGATTGGCAGTATTGTCACTTGGCACAAATGTTGGATGCTAGAACAGCAATAGCCCTAGCAAGAATGCCAAATGTTAATCCACTGTTTTTCCTGCAACCACCATATTATCACGTGCAATATAACTTAAATGTATGTAACAATTGTCTTAGTTCTGAATTTTAACTTTAATTTAAAAATGTGTACTTATAAAATAATATATTTATTTTCTATTTTTATCAATATTCTTCAACATTTTAAAAATAATTTATAATAAGGATAAGTATAACTTGTTTCTTTTTCTGTAGGATATATTGGAAAAAGTACATTCACTACTGTTAAATCTGAATGCTTTGTGTGGCAATACACATCTCTGTCTTACACAGTTCCTTAGCAAAATGTTCAAAGACTCGCATCGAGTAAGTATTTTGTATATAAAATCTTGTAAGAACATTATAGTGTTGCAATAGCAACTTAGCAATATCATTCAAACTGTACTTAATTTGATGTACAGTATCTTACAGAATGGTTTGATCATGATTTGACAAGCGTGGGTCTTTCTGTGGAAACAACAACAGTTTGGGATGATGAATTGCTCAAAAGTTGTGTACGTGCTATATGCCATCATTCCTCTATGGAAGAATATACCAAACGTAAGCTATTGAAATATTTCGTGCAGTCTATAGACTAATATACATTCTTTTGATCTCTTATTTAATTTTTGAATCTTAGACTTGATCAATGCCGGAGCTTTGCCTATATTAATGGCAATTCAAAAAATTTGCAACGACGATGTAGAGATGTGCACATTACTTGCGAGGATATTATCCAACATATCTCTTCATTCCGAATATTTGGAGAGCATCTACCAATCCGGTAAAATAAATTTTATCTTTTCATGATGAATCGTTGTATTGCTAATGACATAATTATCTTTGATAAGGCTGGATCGGCATATTATCACGATGGTCTCACAGTGATGATCTGCGCCTGTCGGCACAGGCAATCAGCGCGTTAGTGAACCTGGATACTGATGGAAATGAGAAGGCGAAATATCCACAAAATGTCTATCTTCTTCATCCTCTACATAGAGTACATGCGGCGACAAAAATGGATGTTGTATTCTTGCACGGATTACTAGGTGGAGTCTTTGTTACCTGGAGACAACGTGACATCGATACTTCTGCACTTGGAGTTGTAGGTTTGTCAATATTTAAATACGATCGTACAATTTGAATTTTATTTTTTTGTGTCATTATTTTTGTCAATCTTGAGATTAAACTATAACATTTCTTATAATAAAAGTTCTATTTTTTATGGTAGATGATAATATATTGAACGAGACTACAGATTATTTGTCTACCATGGTCGACGACGATCGTCCTCAGGAATTCTTCAAAGACTTAGCACGTGATTTGCATTTGCGTGAATGGCGAAAGATAGGTCAAGATTTTGAAGTTATATTGGACGATTGCCCACAAAATACAAATGATTGTGCATGCGGACCTTATTTTTGCAGAGGGTAGGTTTTTATCTATTTGTATTTATGCATATATTAACCAATATGAATGGAAGATTATACGACATACTTTTAATTAGAGATGATGCCTGTATGAAGAATGATTTCGACTGTACTTCAAAAACACTTTGCTGGCCCAAAGACTGGCTACCCGTGGACATACCATCCCTACGAATCATAGGTATTAACTATGGTACGAGCTTATCTATGTGGACTCCTTTCTGCCCAATAGAAAGCATGAAGTGAGTACTTTGTTTTATCTATTATTGCATGAAAGTATATTTATATATTTGATACAGAATTAAATAACAGATATTAAATATAGTGATAATTTGTGGATGCATCACATTTATTTTTACTAGGAGTACTATTAAAGAGAGAAGCGAAGAATTCGTTACCAAATTGACTATGGCAAACGTGGGGCAGCGACCACTTATATGGGTCGCCCATTCAATGGGTGGATTATTAGTTAAAAAAATGCTTGTAGAAGGTACAGAACATATAAACTGAAAATTTATGCTAATTTTTTTATATACTTTTATAAACATACATGAAATCTATTATTACTATTGCTATTATTAATGTCGTTTTGTATATCGTAATTATATTGTTTATAGAATGGAAAACTGGAGATAAACGCGGTATCTGCAAGAATACCAAAGCTATCCTATTTTATGGTACTCCTCATCGAGGCTCGCACCTGGCTGCTCTGAAGCAAACAACGCAAATGTTGGTATGGCCAACGATCGAAGTTCAAGAATTACGTGAAGGTAATTGTTTTTATAATTATCTATAATTATCCATATCTGTTTTAAATTTTAATTAACATTTGACGTAACTTATCATTTTAATGTTACAGAATCGCCACAATTACTAAAATTGCACGAGGAATTTTTGGAAATGTTAAAGAAATATCGCATAGAAATTGTAAGTTTTGCTGAAGCCAAACCTACACTCGTAACTGCATTGAAGTTTCCCTTCCAATTCGTCGGTCTCGATTCGGCAGGTAACGCTTTAAGACAAATTAGATATACTGTAAATATCTTATCTTCACATCGTTCATCGTTTAACTTATCTTAATGATATACATTTCTAAATAAATTTAACTTATTTAAATTCTTATTAATAATATACATCGTACAAACACACACACACACACACACACACACACACACACACACACACACACACACATACATACATACACATATACACGCAATATACAGTATTATGATTGTTTTTTCAGACCCTGGCGTGGGGGAATTCTTCGAGATTCCGCAGGATCATTTATCGATATGCAAACCAGCTAGCAGGTAATATCTAGAATATAATATGGTTTAAAAGCATCATTGGATAAAAGGAAGACAATACAAATTCGACAACATTGTTAACAAACACATCATTTTTTTTTTTGTTTGACTGCCAATGATGTTTTAAAACCGAATATCTGTTAAGTATAATTACATTCTTTAACATAATTACAAGACGGAAGATAAGGCGGCGAATAAATTCGTATTCCCTATTTTTCGAACAGGCAATCGTTCTTGTATCAAAAACTCGTGAGTGTACTCAAACATCATGTAAACACTCAGGAAGAAACGACATTCTCGTCGATTAGAAATCTACTTTCCTTGTTGAGTAAGTTACTTTAAGTCTGTGTATAAGAGAGATATATACGAGGTTTATATATTTTTTATATGAAACCGACGGATGTGTATGATCGATTATAAAAAGAATTGTGATATAGCATCATGTGATTTGGTCTCTATTCGATGCAATCCTCATTTATAAACGAGAAAATATTTTTGATGTAATCACACAATTTTCTTTTCGCTTAATTCTATTTTTCACACCTATAATTCCAAACACGTCGCGACGGCGTATATTGGCGTCATGGTAATAAATCGGTTTCGATGGAATGCGACCGATTACAGTATGTTATCGATTATTTATTATTCTGACTAGAATAAATGAATCCCTTATCAAGGCAAACAGTAAAGAATAAATGGATAATTCGATGTCGTGAAATAATGAACACACAAGATATTACTAGACGTACGAGAGAACACAAAATAATGAGTTGATATACTGAAAACGTTTTAGAGATATATTGGTATCGAGATGAATGCCTATTGTTGAAGAATAGACTAAACATTCCAATGCATCTCTCGCTACTGCTTACCTAACGGCGCCGAATAAATTAAGTGAAATTTCGGTATCGACAGAAGAAATTGCAATTTATTGGCGTTTAAAAATTCGTGTCGTAATCGGGATGATGGCGGCTCGATAGGTTCGTGGTACTGTCGTAACCGCCGTATTTGCTGCTTGCATGCGAGGGATTGTAATAATAACCGTTCCACTCGGATCGCCAACTGTCGTACAAATTGTACTTCTTGTTGTCCTGGAAAGATTTGTCAACCAGAATCTGAAAACGAATTAATTGGAAATAAGTAATCATTTTGCTAGATAAGTAGTCGTCTTGTGACGTTGTTCTCGTGTTCGCTTGTTCACCTTGTTAGAAGTCGACTCGAAGGACTTGTCGTTCCACGAGACGTCGGGATCGGTCCATATTGTGTGTACCGGCTTGGAATAGTCGCTCGACCTGTGACTCGACGTGTGTTTGGCCACCTCCTCTTCGTAAATCGCGGACATAGTCGGTTTCAACTTTGATCCGCTTTGTCTGTTGACGAGCTAAAAATCGAGTTCGTTTATTACCGTTTGCTCTACTTAAGATGTAAACTACTAAGATGTGAACTTTGATACTCACTACAGATACACCGAATACAATAATAAATAATAAACCTCCGACACCGATCACTATCACCGCGATGGCCCACTGAGGTATCAGTCTATCATCTTTCTCAATATATTGCGGTGTATTCACTTTAGGTATGACTGAATAAAGATAATACAGTATAAAAAGGACAAGTAGAGTAATGAAAGACAAGTAGAAGAACAATTTTTGATGACGTACCTACGAAATCAGTGTACTTGGGATCGATAGTAAACATCCCCATTTTTAACGGACCCTTCATGCTTGTTTCATTCCATCGATTGGCATTGTATGTTCTGAGCGAGTCGTGGAAAATTACTTTTAGCTCCTGCGTGTTCACTTTCTGCCGTAAATTGGCTAGCTCGACAAAGTAATCTACTAGGATGCTGCCTTGACTGAAATCATTGTATTTTGTTTGTTGAATCTTAATACGAAATTGATTAATCTAGAATGTGATAGAATGACATCTAATATACAATTCATTCAAAAAATTCTAATATAAATAAAAATCGTACGCCTATAATTATGCTTCTAATCATCTCGTTTCGAACAGCTTCGAATTACAAAGTCAGAAATACCTGAAGGAGTCGATCCTTATATTTTTGAACCAGTTCATCAAAACACTGGATTTCGAGAATATAAAGTTCATCTGAAAAAAATATATAATTTACGTACGATTGACAATTTTATAAAGACAATAAGAAATTTAGTGAAGGATATACCTCTCGTTCCACTTGATTGGCGAGCTCTTGCCATTCGCGGGTATTTCGATCGAACAATTCCGGCACCCACGTCGCGTTCCCGATGATACGTATCGTGCCGGCGACCTCGCACTCGTCGTCGCACACACCGGGAGTCGTCGGCCTCGGTGTCGTCGTCGTCGTCGACGTTGACGACGTGCTCGAGATCTCGTTCGTGCTGGGAATAAGCGATATGTTCGTCGATGCTACTGTAGCCGTGCGTGCTGCCTCCAGCAGTTTCTCAATGGAGATCGGTGTGGTGGATGGCGTTGGCCATCCAGTGAACTCCGTAGTAGCTCTAAAATTCATCAGTGAAATTTTTCGAATTTAATATCTGAAGAATATCTGAATTTAATAAAGCTTTACTTTTTAGGTGTAACAACGACAAAATAGTAAAATCAGTTTACCGAGTCGGCCACCCCTTTTGTATCTTTGGCGTCACTGCGCCTGGACCATCTCGGAGTAGAGTGAGCGGGGTGGTTATTTTCTGGATCGGCTTGCGACCACCTGGCCTGCTAGGAAACACGATTTTTAAGCCGCCAGTTTTCTTCGTGGTAGGCGACTCGGAATCGGTTCGTTCCGTAACAGTCGCGTTCTGCTCGCTGCTTACATTGCCAACGGCTTTGCTATCCACAACAAGATCCTTCTTCTTTTGTTCGTAATCTTTAGGCAACAAGGCAGAGATATCGACTTTGGAGGACGCGAAAAGATCCTGGAAAGATGAGGCGATCTTTTCTGGAGAAACGCCTGTACTTTTCGCTGTTGTCGTCGTGATATCTTTTGGTTTGGATTCTTCTTTTTTTTTATTATAATCAGATGGCAAAAGAGACGAAATGTCGACTTCGGATTTGGCGAGAATTTCGCTGAGAAGGGAACTCTCCGTCGCGGTCGCATCTTCTTTCTTCAGTTTATATCCTGGTGGCAAAAATGCACTAATATCTTGAACGACAATGCTGGTATTAGGTTTCGTTCGTGATGTCGTCGATGGTGTCTTCGTCTGTGTTGGTGAATCTGTGGATGTCGTTAGTTTCGAAGACGGCCATCTGAAAAAGAGATAAAAAAATAACTATCATTGATTTAGCTGTTAACTATCATTGATTTAGCTGTTAATTAAATCATAATTGGTTATGTGATCTGGCAGTGTCTTTTTACTTTTCTAAGTCACCAAATTACTATATCTAAGATATAATATATATTGCACTTGCAGACAGATTCTATATACACTTTTAAAAAATGCAGTAACCTAAAGTTTATCTTCGTAACCGCACTCGGGGTAGTTCCTCTTGACACATAATTCCGAGGTAGCAAGCCTTCCAGGTTGTCAATTGTGGTCTCAAATCGCGGCTTCGCCGTGCTGGTGTGCTCCACTCTTTTGTCGTTATAACGTCGCGGCACAAACTTGCCGATAACCGGTACCTTGGCGGTGGTAGTGAAACTCTTACGAGTCGTCGTCGTCGACGTCGTTGTGCGATCTCGTTCAGCTAACACATCTAGTTGCAACGTGTTGCCGGCGTTCCGGAAGCCACCGGTGCCGAGGATGGCGGCCGGCAGGAGATCGCTGGATAACTTGGACTGTGCCCAGTCGAGCTTGTCGATGATGCTCTCCGTAGATTCGGACGGTGATTGCGACGTTTTCTTGCCCTCGAGCGAGCCGCCGTGCGCCTCCACCTGTTCCACGCGATCGATCACCGGAAACGGCAGGAAGCGCGCGCCCGAGATGCTGCGACTAGTCTGCACGGAGGCCAGGATCCTCGCGGAGTCTTCCGTGGTCACTTCCGGGTGTCCCTCAGTTATCTCGGCTACTGACGACGATGATGACGATGGTGACGACGACGGCGGCGGAGGCGCGACTTGCTTCGTGGTAGCCGGCGATGCCGTCGTCGGCACCGATATCGTGCCGTTCACCACGCTCTTCGTGGTCACAACGGACACCACGGCGCCACCTATCAGGATGGAACTGGTCTCGGAGGAGACGTTCTCCGGTTTCTCCTTTTCCTCTTTCTCTTCGGGTTCCTCCTTTTCCTCGAGTTCCTCTTTTTCCTCGTATTCCTCGTTTTCTTCGGATTCCTTCTTCTCCTCAAACTCCTGTTCCTCGGACGCGCTGAACATGGAGAACATTTTGTCGCTGCCCTCCATAGACGAGCCTTGTTCCAGGTCCATTGATGATATCGGACTGCCGACTTTCTCCTTGACAATCCGCGACGAGTTGGAAGTTGAGCGGTGCGAGGTGTCTTCGTCTCTCTTCTCCAAAATGTCGGGCTCCAATTCTGCCGAATTCCCCGGCGTAACGTCCTCCTCTTCAGATTCCGTGTCTACGTAGTCGAGATGTTCGTCTAAAAAAGTAAAGGATATCAGTTTATAAAATCAAAGAGTCGCGGTTTTTAATTATCTAAAATTGAATAGAATGCAACAAATGCAATAAGTTATATCTTTCTTATTTTTAGAAATAAAAAACTTTGAGAGATATGATTCTAGAGTGCGATTGTCTCTTGGAAATAATCGAAACTCACCTGCGGAATCGTATCGTGTATGATTTCCGTTTTCGTACTCGTCGTAATAATAATACGTGTTGTCGTCCTGATTCGTCGGGAGATCTTCGAGGTAATCCCCATCCCTGTCTCCCCCTTCGGTATTCGACACGCTGCTAGTTTCTTGCGGAGATCTCTCTTTCTTCATTGCGCCATTCTCGGTATCGGTGGGATCTTTCTTCTCCACCTCCACCTCTTCCTCCTCCTCAACCTCTTCCTTTTTGTGCTTATCTTCATCTTCGTATTCCTCGTCGTACGTCAGTTTAGGTTCCTCCTCCTCCTCCTCCTCCTCCACCTTCTCCTCCTCGTGATCGCCTCCCCCTTCGATTTCGACGTGTCCATCACATTGTTCTTCGCCAGCGAATGCGCCAGCGATGCATCGGCCTCGTTGCCGGACGGCGATGCATTTCGGTCTTGCTTCTCGTAGACCGAATTCGTTGGTATCAGCTGCGAGAGCTTGTCCCAAGATCGGACCGTTTCTGAAAATCAATGGTGGACATGAACTTTCCATTTCTGCATTGCAATCCCTTCTATTGTAAGAGAATCTTTTTCATGACTTTTTTTAATAGTGATTTACGCACGGATATTTGTGTAAATCGCCGAACCGAGTCACAGTTCTGCTGAAAATCTTGAATGAGAGCCAAGACACTTTCTAATATCGTTTCCTACACTCCGTCCAATTTACAAAAAGAGACGACCTTAATTTCTTTACCTTAATATCTTTCTCTCCTTCAGCCTTATTGAAGTTTAATACTTTTACACCTGAGTCTCAAACGTCGATAAATAATTTTTTTAGACCACGCCGCGCGATTTGTGTCTGGCGAGAAAAATTTATGAAAGTTGAATCTGATTCTTTATCGATATATTTTTCTAACTTGCAAGATATTACGAGCGCTTCTTTAGCGACATGAGAACTCAACGTAGTTTCGCGCGACTTTTACTCGTTATTCATTAATCGCAGGAAATCGCGGCGGTCTTCAGCGGCCGATTTTCGACGGAACGGCCGTTTCCGTGTAATTGTTGCTCGGGGTATGGTATAACGATAATACGACGACGGTTATCCCAACACGAGCCACAATGCACGACAGAATGCATTATCGTAGCAAGGTGAAAGGCGAAGTATCGCGCATTTCGCCGCGGTGCCGTACGTTTAAACGCGTCGCGCGGGCATAATTTATTAGCGGTTTCTGCAATATACCAACAGATAAAAATCTCCGGGATGGATATTACTTCGGTGCACATGTCGAAGGAGGCAGCTTTGTGGATACGCCTAAATGGGAGGTAGAGAACAACGGAGGAGTAACGTAACGAGCGCGCCGCGATATTACGTCGCGCGCTATAATAAAGGCGCGAGATACACATCGATGTATCGAGTGACAGAGAGAATGAAAGAAGGAGAAATAAGAAATGAGATAAATCATATAATACATTCTGTGTATTACGAAAATAATACAGGATGTTAAAATGAGAACAACAATACCTTTCATTTTTATCCAATGATGAAAAATGATCCCATTTTGTATTTTTGCATTTTTGTATTTTTTATATTTTATTTTTGTGATTTTTAGTTGTT